AAAAAAAAAAAAAAGTTTCCTTAACATTTTCCTTTAAATTTTCTGGCCATCCTTCATAGATTTTGTCTTTTTGTTTGGTTTTAGAATGTTGCAGATGGCCTAGGGTCTTGTGGATGCCAGGTTGCTGGGTGTCTCCGTTACTCTTCTCCCATTGCTGGGACAAATATCTTAACACTCAAAATTAAGGAAAGTTGGGGTCAGCAAGATAGCTCAGCAGTCTAAAGTGCCTGCTTAGGCAAGTTTAGTAAGGTGCAGCAGACTGCAGCTTTTTGGTCCTTGGCACCACATGCTGTGCCAGCCCCGCCCTGAGGGTGAGCTGAGCCAGCCTCCTCCCCCCACCAAAAAAAAGAAGGAGGAGGAAAGAAAGTTAGCTCACAGTTACTGGAGGTTTCAGTCCATACTCAGCTGACTCAAAGGCAGACTGGCATATAGCATAGGGCAGCAGTTCATGGTGGCAGAAGGCAGCAAAACAGCAAGAGCAGGAGCTGGGGAATGGCTCAGTGGAATAAATGCTTCCCTGGCAAGCCCAAGGGCCTGAGTTCAATCCCCGGTTCTGCAAAACAAACAACAACAACAAAAACAGCGAGAGCAAAAGGAAGGAGTACTAGCAACAAAGGCTACAGAGAGCAAGTCTGTATATAAGGTCTGTTGTACTCAGGTAATTGCCCCAGGCTGGGTGCAGCCCCCAGACCATAATCCCAGTGAATCATGAGTCATTTGTAGTCATCACAAATTCTAGAAGTCCGCCCCATGACTGCATGAGACTTTGATGGGGGGACAGCTAGACACAACCCATAACACTGGCCCAGTGCGCCATCACTGAGGTCCATGGAGCCCCAGCCCTTCCTCAGCCTTTGCACCAGTGTGGAGACACATCCCCCAGACGGGACTGCTCCCCAGCCGCTCTATGGCTTGGAGTTTGTCTGCACGCATTGTAAACCTGCACCATTGTTTTGAGGTGATTTTTTTGCTTTTGCAGCAGTTGTATGTGATACACTGTCGACTCTGCATGTGAAATTTTTGTCTATGCCTGACGTTTTCCTTTATTATTCTCTTTCTTGTAGATTAACCTACTATGGCAGACCAGAGGCAGCGCTCACTCTCTACCTCCGGAGAATCACTGTACCATGTTCTTGGGTTGGATAAGAATGCAACCTCAGATGACATTAAGAAATCCTATCGGTGAGTGACCAGTTGAAGCCCTCTGCCCCCCACCAGGACACAAGCCTTCAAGTGGTTTAATCTTCCATTTTATCAAGAACTGGTGAACAGGAAGGTTCTCATGCAGATTCAGCACAGAACTGGTAGCAGTTCTTTTGCATTTCCGTGTGTGTGGTGTGCTTCTCACCACTTATACCTGTCATGGTAATAACGTTCTGTTAGCAACAAAAACGAAACCCTTGAGATGTTATAGTTATCTACACTTCCATGGGAAATTAGAACTGAACCTGAAAGATCTCTGGCACAGCCAGGGCTTTGCAGGGTTAAGAGACACCCATGTTTGCAGTGATGACAGTCTCTTATTCGGTCACAGCCTTCAGTTTCAATAATACAGCCCTGAGCCAGGTGTGGTGGCACACACCTGTAATACCAGTGCTAGGGAGGCTGAGGCAGGAGAATCATTGCAAGTTCCAGACCACCATTGGCTGGAAAGTGAGCTCAAGGCCAGCCTGAACTGGGTAGCAAGACTCTTTTCTCAAAAAGACAAAAAAAAAAAAAAAGATGAAGAAGAAAATATTTAGCCTTTAGAAACCAGGCATGCATAGTAGCACTCTGGAGCAAGTTAAAGAAACCCTGTCTCAAAGTATATAACAAAACAGCTAGGGAGTGTAGCTTGGTGCAAACTTTTTTTTTTTTTTTTTTGGCGGAACCGGGGATTGAACTCAGGCCCTTGCGCTTGCCAGGGAAGCGCTTATTCCACTGAGCCATCTCCCCAGCCCCGGTGCAAACTTTATGGAAACACATAGCAACATCTCTAACCCAGGTGTTTCCAGTGGTTTCCTTTTCTTGAGACAGGCCTTACTGTGTAATTCAGGTGGGCCTCAAACCGCTGTTCAGCCCAGACTGCCCTCAAACTCAGTGGTCCTCCAGTCTCAGATTCCCCAGTGCTATTATTACTGACATGCCACCATACTAGGCTGGTCTTTGTTGTTGGCATTGTGTTGCTGGGTGTGGTAATGCACATCTGCAATCCCAGCACGTGGGAGGCTAAGGCAGGATCACTGGGAGTTTGAGGCCAGCCTGAATTACACAGTGAGATCCTGGCCAAATAGCTCAGTGGATTCAAGCACCTGCAAGAGGTGCAGGAGCCAGGGCTTTGATCCCCGGGCCTGGGCAGTACCACCTGCCTGTAATTCCAGCTCTTGGGAGGCTGTAAGCAGGCGGATCACTACAAGTCCCATCTAGTAGTGAGACTCTCAATACCCTGTAGACCCTTCCCTAAAATGCAGAGAGAGAGAGAGAGAGAGAGAGAGAGAGAGAGAGAGAGAGAGAGAGAAACAAGCCAGGTAGGTGGCACACACCTATAACCTCAGCACTTGATGCAGAGGCAGGAAGATCATTTGTGAGTTCGAGGACCAGCCTGAGCTATAAAGTGAGCTTCAGGCCATCCTGCACTGCATAGCAAGAGCCTGTCTCAGACAAAAGGGGCTGAGGAGATAGCTTGGTGATCTAAGCGCCTGCCTGGCAAGTGCAACGACCCAGTTTCAATCCCCAGTACCACATGCTGTGCCACCTTGGAATCCCAGGCATGCTGTTCTGGTCACCAAAACCAAGCATTTTGGCACGTGCCTGTAATCCCAGTGGTGGGGAGGCTTAAATAAAATAAATAAAATAAATCCCTGTAATCCCAGTGGTGGGGAGGCACCAAATAAATAAACAAATAAATGATTAAATGATTTTAAAAATTAGGGGGAAAAAAGACACGAAAAGACCCCTGAAACTAGTATTATGCAGTTTGTGGTACTGATTTTTTTTTTTCTTTCTTTCTTTCTTTTTTTTTTTTTTTGCGGAAGCAGGTGTTGAACTCAGGCCCTTGTGCTTGCCAAGCAAGCACTTATTCTACTGAGCCACCTCCCTCACCCCTTGTGGTATTGGTTTTGAGGTGCTGTTGTTGCACTCTCCCTGTCTATGGGTCTGTTGGCAAGTGTGTAGTAAAGTGTTTAGGTCACTAGGGGTCAGTGTTAAGGTTTTGTTTTGTGCGGCTGAAAGTTCACAGAAGTGAGTGCTGTCAGCTGGCACTCACTACCCAATCCTCAGGATTGCCCTCTAGAGATGGGGTGGTGGTACTGTGGATTCACCCTGAAACAGTTGGAGGGTTTTTTTTATCTTGACATTAGGGACCTCTAAAATATTGGAAATCAAGGTGGTATGGGTAAGACTGGGCGTGGTGGCATGTGCCTATAATCCCAGCACTTGGGAGGCTGAAAACAGGAGGATCACTACAAGTCCAGTCTATGTAGTGAGATCCTGTAGATCCTATAGGCCCTGTACTACATTGATTGATTGATTGATTGATTGATTGATTGATTGATTTTGGCGGAACCAGGGATTGAACTCAGTCCCTTGCGCTTGCCAAGGAAGCACTTTTTCCACTGAGCCATCTCCCCAGCCCCTGTACTACATAGACTTAAAAAAAAAAAAAAGTAAAAAAGATAGTACGGGTAGATACTATTTCCTTTGGACCCTCCAGTGGATGAACACAAACTGCCAGAACAAGTTAGAGCCAGGAAATGGTTTTGGTTTGCAGGAAGCTTGCCCTGAAATATCACCCAGACAAGAACCCTGATAACCCAGAGGCTGCAGACAAGTTTAAGGAAATCAACAACGCCCACGCCATCCTGACCGATGCCACAAAAAGAAACATCTATGACAAGTATGGCTCTCTGGGGCTCTACGTTGCTGAACAGTTTGGGGAAGAGAACGTCAACACCTACTTTGTACTCTCCAGCTGGTGGGCCAAGGTGAGGAGGGGATTGGGTAGCAGGTTCCCCAGTCCTGAGGGCACTAAGATAGATGTCTCAAGCTTAGTAGGATTTTACACCCTGAAGGATCTGGGCAAGCCAGGCATGGTGGTGCACGCCTATAATCCCAGTAATCAGGAGATTGAGACAAGAGGATTGCTGTGAGTTCTAGGCCAGCTTGAACTGCATAGTGAGACCAAAAAAAAAAAAAAAGGACTGGTGCACTTGATTTAGACACTCCGTACTCCTAGGAAATGGTCTTAGGCAAGTGGCAGTCTTCCTTTTCCTCCTGTGCAGTGGGCAGAGTTTGAAGCTAGTGTGGCAGCCAGCATACACAGCACACATCCAGCAAGGTCCATGCTGAGCCACTTGTCCCGGCAGGGTTTCTCTCATGTGTGGTTCTTGAGTTCTTAAGAGGATTGAGGTGGGAAACAACCCTTTTAGGATGGCATACTTACTATTTATTGCCAGGAAAGGGGAAAATATCTTGAAATTAACATTAGAAACTCTTGACATCTATCAGGTTTTGGGTTTTGTTTTTTTGTTTTTTTTAATGTGTGTTTGTTTTCTTGGTACTGGGAACCAATCTCAGGACCTTGCACTTGCCAGGCAGGCACGGTGCTGCTGAGCTCTATCTGTTTGGGCCCCATTTGTTTTATTTTTTACCTTTCTTGTTTTCCCTATTTGTCTACTATATATAAGTCCAAAGGTATGAATTACCCCACTGTTGTTAGTTGTTGCAAGCCTATTGCCCTTACTAGTCAGCCTGGGTCCCCTCTGTCAGTTCTTGCTCTCTCTCACCTGTGCCCTCCATTCCCAAGCCTTTTCTTTGTACATCTGAAAAGCATGCCCTCCCAGCTCTTGTCCTATTGGGGAGGCCCTTCACCTGGTGGCCTGGGAGGCCATGCACTGCCAGCATTCTCTTCCCTAGGCCCTTTTCGTCTTCTGCGGCCTCCTCACCTGCTGCTACTGCTGCTGCTGCCTGTGCTGCTGCTTCAACTGCTGCTGCGGGAAGTGCAAGCCTAAGGCCCCTGAGGGCGAAGAGACTGAGTTCTACGTGTCCCCCGAAGACCTGGAGGCACAGCTGCAGTCTGACGAGAGGGGTGAGTTCCTGCCCCAGGACACGCGTGTGTGCGCGGGGCAGAGCCAGCATGGGCCCTGAACAGTGTCAACTGTCTTGTCAAACAGGAGGGCACTGACACTGTGCCGCGAGTGTTTGTGGTGGCAGCTGGGACTGTTGAGGTGTGAACGTGGACACTTGAGGTAAAGCAGGGGCAGGGATCTGTCCCTGCCCGTGAACTGCGGTAGCCGTAGATCTGAGGGGACAAGAGGTGGGGAGGGCAGCAAGCAGGTGGGGAGGGCTGAGGGCTGGTAATGACCTGAGGCTACTGAGCAAGTGTTTTGGGTGGAGGTCAGCAAGTAGCCTCTCCCTTCTGAGCGTCTGTCCAGGTGGCCGAGTGTTGTGATGCGAGGACCCTGTGATGGGCACATGGCGTGGCTGTTGCCCTTGCGTGATGAGGCTGCTTGCTTACTTTGCAGAGGCCACAGACACGCCAATTGTCATACAGCCAGCGTCCGCCACAGAGACCACCCAGCTCACGGCTGACTCCCACCCCAGCTACCACACTGACGGGTTCAACTAAGTTCAGGAAAAGCTGTGATTAGAGGATGAATCAGCACCCAGCCACTGCAACCTTAGAATCATGAACTGTAGTCACCGAGATTGGGGAGGTAGCAGCCAAGCAGCCTGCCTGGCCGCATAAGGCCCTCCACCTCCTCTACGCTCACCCATCCGTCAATCCCCCATACATGAAGTGCGTAGCATGCAGTATTTAAAGCAGTGTAGCTACGGTCTTCTGTTTTTCCTTTTTTAATAGCATGTATGGGTTGTGTTCAGTGTCTGTGTTGTGGACATGCCGCGGCCTAGCTACATTTACTGGACAGTGGGGCTGCCTGGGGTTTCAGTCAGGTTGGTCCAGGAAGGGCTGACCGCAGCTGCCAGGTTCCACCTGGCCAGTTGGGCTAGGAAAGGACAGGCCTCCCTTTGTGCCCTGGAGGCAGGTGCTGCTGGTAGAGCTGCATCTCCATCCTGACTTGGGTGTCCGAGGTGGGGTGAGGTCCACACTCTGTTCCCTGGTCCTGAGGCTGCAGGCAGGGCACCGATATCTCTGGTGGGGAAAGGAAGTGGGCCCTACCATCCCAATATCACAGTCATTTCAGTGGTGTTTGTGTTGGACACAGTCTGCACCTTGTTCCCTTGGCCTCTTGGAGGGTTTCCTCAGTGGAGAGATTTCTGTGGAAAGTACAGGCATATCCTCTGAGGGTGAACTCAAGCTCAGCACAGTATCTTCAGCCTGTATCTCTGCCACATGGACTGAGGTTCCTGTCCTTAGAGGTGTGTCCCTTGCCAGTGTGTAGGAGATCATTTGTCTCTGTTCCCGTACCTTTCCCAAGCCTACAGCTGGATCAGTGGGGCCATGGTCTCTACTTGCTCTTCTGCAGGTCAGACTCCACATTCCTTCAAACTTCCCTGTTTTTTAAATCTTTTTTTGAACTTCTGAAAACTGCAAGTGATAGCATCTGCTTAACTACAGTCTGAGGGTCTGTGAGTCCAGGTGGCAGCGGCACATGGCTGCTGTTGTCTAGGAAATGTTGCGTAAGTGTGCAGCTCGCAGCACCCTCCTCCTTGTACTTGCCAGAGCTTGGCCCCCTCCATGGCCTTCACCTCTGCCTGTCATCCATGATTCAGCAGAGCAGGAATACTGGGTTCCAGGAGGCAGCATCTGGAGCCAAGGTGCCTCAGGAGAGTTGGCTCCCAGGGAGGCTGCAGTGATGCCTCAGCTCTTCAGCCAACCTGGAAGCTAGTGTTGGACCACGAGCCCCTGCATAAACCACTAGCAGCTGGTCTCTTCCCTCGGTGCCCCAGGCTTTCTGGGTGTACCCTGCGTGGGAGAGCTGAGCAGATGTAGACCATGGGCCTGTATCGACTGAGGTTTGGAGCTACCCCACCCCCAGCAGCTACCAACCTGTGCTAGATTCCTGCAGACTCTTCCAGTGCCAGCAGAGATAAAGGAGAAGCCTTGTGTGGAGATTCCATGGCCCTGGTGACTTGTGTGCTCCAGTAGGTACATTCCCCCTGCCTGCTGATTCTTGACCCAGCTCACCAGCATATCCAGAGAGGAGGGTCAGGGTGTTAGGATGTTACAAGAAGGAGCAGCAGTGTGAGGACAAAGCTGATAGGCTTCAGAATATGTCACTGTTTGTTGTTCCCCAGCCCGTCCTGGTTAGTGTGCAGTGACGCTGCAGCCCACAGCTGCTGTCCCACATGGGCCAGGAGCTGGTTGGCTGCCAGCACCAGGTGCTTGGGTGGGTTTGTCTGTTTTGCTCGTTAAAGTGATGGTGAAGACATTAGGGGGACGTTCACCTACGATTTGTTAGAAATAATGTTTACATCAGACCTCAGAAAGATTAAAAAATGCACTGTTGGGCCTGTCCAGAAATAGGAGCTGAGACAACTGGACAGATTTCTTGTATGCCAGCTGCAGTGTGACACCACAGAAAGGACACTTGGTCAACCCTTGTGACTTCCTAGATATCATTAGAAAAGTTAGTTGTTCTCCAGCATGGCCAGGAACGAGGTTCAAAATGTGGACAAGGTCAAAAGTGTGGCGGCCTGGCTAGCATCTTTAAGGACAGCCATCCTGGTCTGCAGCTTTGTGGCTCTTGCCTCCTGTCCCAGTGACCTTGGCCAGATAGCTCTTACCTGGGGAGCCCTGGGTGCTGGCTCCCGAGGGAGTGTGGCACTTGAACCCAGTGTCCTGTGGAGTTTCTGAAGCTAAAGAAATCATGTAGAATGTGTGAAGATGAACTTGACAGTTGCCAAGATGATGGCAGTGATTGCCCAAGGCCCAGCCAGAGATGACTGAATGTCGAGGTTGGGAGCCTTTGCCACCACCTGGTCTTGACGCAGACCCCTCTTCTGTGTTTTACTGTGTTGTCCTTAGGCCTACTGAGTTTTGGCCCTTTTAATAGCTAGAGTCTTGGGGAATCAGCTTGTACCCACTTCCTGTCCAAGCGCTAACAAATCAAAATAACCCTCAGTTCTCTTCAGACTCTTGGGCTGGTGGCCATAGCAGGAGTTCACTCCCAGGCTACAATGGTGCCAGGGCATATTGCACGTACAGTGCTGCAGCCAGCATGCATGGAAGCCTGTCCCTCAGGGTCCAGGCAGTACTGGTTACTCCTAAGCTGCAGGAAGAATGTGGGAAAGACCTGTGAGGCCATCTCACGGGAGCTGCTGCTGCTGCTGCTGTCGCTGTCTAAATTTGTTTCTGCTCAGTGATATGGTCTTTTCTTGTCTTCTTTTTGGCTTTATTCTATTTTTAAACTGCTTTAGATATTACTGCTCATGAGCCTTCCTAGTTCTCTGATATTCAGTTAATGTAGCCAACACCCAACGAGACCTGTTACAAAAAGAAACCAGAGTACTCACTGTAGTTAGCTGGAAACTTCATCTCGGTGTTGTGGGTTGTTGGACTTGACCACAACCAAAAGTCCAAGAAAGGCCCTGAATCATGAAACATCAGGACTCTTCAGCTGTCTGGTGCCATGTTCCATTGGTGGCCACACCATTGTCCTGTTGAGCCCATGGCAGTCTGGTCCAGGTGAGCCTTGTGCTGGAAGAGTGTCCATCAGTGTGCCTGCTATCTCAGGAGATGGTGGCCTTGGCATGCAGACTGTCCCTGGAGGGTCCAAGAGCTGTGGGCTGAACCTGGGTGGATCCTCTCCCTCCACTGGCCCTCAGCACACTGTGCCATGGGGAGCAGTTAGTGAGGGGTGTACCAAGTGACTGATCTCATTCCTTTCCAGTATTCTGAGCTGTGAACCCATGTGGCCCAGGACTGACTTGTTTCTGTTATACTTTGGTTATAAATCATCCTCCTGTGGAATTGGCAAAAGCTACATCTTTACTGTACTCACAAGCACGGTTTGCATTGTCACATGCTGTGAGTGTGGGCTGTGGTGTGTGTCTGTGTGTACATATGTGTATATGTATATATTGTGCAGCAGGCCTGTCATGCTGCTGTCCAGTGGCTAAGCGACAAGTACAATAAAGTTCGCTCTCAAGTGGCTCTGGTTTCTTGGAAAGTTGAGCGGGGTTAGGGTTTCCATGTGGTCCTCCCTGTGGATGCACAGTAGGAAACTGAGCTGCAGTGTGTGTGGAAAGCGCTTGTGCCTGAAAGCACTGCTGAGGCCCTGCCAAGTGTTGGACTTGAGGGTTGGGTGTGAGGTGGCTGTCATAAACACGACCATTCTTGGGGACTCTGCTTATCTGATCCACAGGTATGGGAAATCTAGGAAGGAGCTGACTGGAAACCCTCTTTTTGAAACTACTTTTCTGAGCACTAAGTACAATCAGTGGCATTATTGCCTGGACAGGGACTCTGTGCTGGCCAGTCTTGGGAAGGGTCAGAGGCAACTGATGCCCCCTTTCAGGAAGGGGCTGGCCAAGCGCCTTGTAGGCAGCGCTGGGGAGATTTGATTTCCTGAGAAGTGGGGCTGTTTCAATCAGAAAGGGGGGGTTACACTGAAGCATATATATGCTATTTTTAAAAAATTAAGTGCAAGTGCATGGAAAGCAGTTGTCTGTGCACATGTTTTCCCTCACTCCTGGAAACCAGTCCCTGGGGTGCAGGGTGCAAGCTGCTGTCGGAGCCCTGGCCGACTTGCCTGCACTCCAAGGGCCGGGCTGGAGGGCTCAGGTGGTTTCGCATGGTGATCTCCGTCTTGTATGTCTGAATGTTGACCTAAAAAAATAAAGATAACTGTTGTAAAATAAATCTTTTCACTGCAGAATAGATGTGTATTATTTTAATGAAACCTTCACAACCCTCTCTCATTAGTCTTACACTAAGGTATCGGGTGCCCTCTGGCCCTTCAGCTCCCCTGGTAGCTGGGACCTCTCTTCTCTCCATCCTGGTACAAGCATGAGTACCCTCCTCTTGGTTGTTTTTTTACCTCCATCCCCACACCCCCATTTTGTAAATACAATAATTTGCATAATGAAAGGGACCTGTAGCCTGGGGAAGCCCTGTGTTTTCTGCACACCAAGCCCACAGTCCTTGATCCTGCTGCCCTGTGCTAGCAGCGGTGATTTACCCCACGTCGCTCATGCTGTTGCACATGGCCATCTGGGCTGGCCCAGTTTCCGGATGAGCACGTGCAGGTATCTAGAGTGGCCAGTGTAGATGCCATCATAAACCAGTCCCTGCCTTGACATGGCTGCCCAGTTCCAGTGCTGAGCCCTTTGCCTCACAGAAGGCTTTGTGGCAGCATAAAGTAAGATGGGGAAGGGAAGAGGACGCTGAGGCAGTACAGCTCGGGTGCACGCATGGCCAGCCCCTACTGTCCCCTGGAGCAGTGGTTGGTCACTGAGGCTGAGCTTGTGCTGTGGGCTTACCTGCAGTCGGCTCCATTTCATCATTCAGATTTCCCAGAGTTGCCCTTCCTGCCCCCCCCAGGGTATCAGGACATGATGCTCGAGCAACTTCTGCTCCAGCCGCCTGAGTGGCTGGCTCTGAGCTGATGGTCCTGCTTTGTGCTGCCTGCTGTAGCATAACCAGCCCCCCTGCCCCCACCCCCAGCCTTCCTGATGTCACAGTCCCTGGGGGTGGTCTGAAATAGGCTACCACCTTGGTGTCAGGGGAAGGAGCCTGGACACAGTGCAGCCAAGCCCTCATGGTCGTTGTGCTTCTCTGTTCCACATCTCCCAGGTAACCAGTGCTAGGCTCCTGGAGGTGGTGCCTTGTCTGCCCAAGGGCATGTGTGCCTCTTAAGTGCTGTTGGGCACACAGCAGGGCCTGCCTGGGTGGGGCCAGTACCCAGGAGGTCACCAACCCAGAAGGCCTGTGGAAGCCCCTGTGGTCCACACCTCTGCTGTCGCTGCAGCTCAGTCCTCCCTCGCCAGATCTTTCGGGGTCTTTGGTCTTAGGGTAGAATGAGGCAAAAGGCTCTCAGCTGAAAAGCAACTAAGTTGCACACACTTTTAAAATGCTCCCATGTAGGCCTAAAATGAAGTAAATCTGGTTTACATTTCTGATTTAAATTAACTGGATTGGGGCCGGGGAGATGGCTCAGTGGAATAAGCACTTCCCTGGTGAGCGCAAGGGCCTGAGTTCAATCCCCAGTTCCGCAATAAATAAATAACTGGATTGAAGACCAATTTGACCGCTCCCCAACCTGATCTGTTTTCTGGGTTGGCCCTTCCGTTGCCACCCTTTTCTGGCCACCAGTTTAAGGTTTGTTTGCCAGGCACATGTGCCTCAAGTCTGCCAGCACTCAAGAAGGCTAGGGCAGAAGAGTTTGAGGCCAGCCTGAACTACATAGCGAGACCGTCTTAGAAAACCAAAACAGTCTTGTCCACCAGTTCCCATATCACCAGTTTACATGATTCTACACAAATTGTTCACACTGTGCTACGTTACAGTATGAATTTTTCATTCAGCATAGCTTTTTGTCCTAGTGCTGGAGACTGAATCCAGGACCTGGTGCCTTTTGTGTCTAAAAAAAGAAAAGGTGGTGGTTGAACCAGGGCTTTCACTCTGAGCTATATTTCCATCCTCTTTATTCTTTGTTTTGGGATAGTGTCTCAGTCACTAAATTTCCCAGGCTGGAGTCAAACTTGTGATCTTCCTTCCTTAGCCTTGAAGAGTGCTGGGATTACTATAGGTGCCTGCCAGAAGTGGTACGTGCCGGTAAACTGCCCTCTTAACACCAGTAAGTCTTGGCCCCCAGAAGTTTGTCTTCTTAGAACTCGTCTGTAGGCCAAGCATGGTGGTGCGTGCTTGTAATCCCAGCACTCCAGAAGGCTGGAGCCGGAAGATGTAGCTCAATGCAAAGCAGGTCTTGTGGCTGGGGAGATGGCTCAGTGGAAGAAGCGCTTCCCTGGCAAGCGCAAGGGCCTGAGTTCAATCCCTGGATCCGCAAAAATAAATAAAACAAAGCAGGTCTTGCTTCAGTCTCCAGCCCTGCAGTGGCTAGATAGGCAGATGGACGGATGGACCATGAGGCTCTAGGCGGTCTCTGTCCACTTCAGCTCATAATCTGCATAGGGCTTGTCATTTTTTCATAGTGGAAATTGCTGCTTTGGGGTGGAATCGCCAAGAGTGGTGTTTGGAGGCCTTTCCCTGACTGAGCCCTGCAGCACCTTGTGGCTTTCCTGCCTTTGCTCCATCAGCGTCCTTAGCGTCAGAACGTTTCCCTATGACTCACATAGGTAGCATCCATGTTTATTATTTTCAGCATTAGCTAATGTTGCATACTCTCCGAAACTGTGGCACCAAGCCTGAATGATGGGCATTCAGGGCAGTGGACAGGCACCACACACACCCCCCACACACACAGCGAGGGGAGGATCCCAGATGGGGCGGGGGCGGGGCCTGTGGGGGCCTGGTCTCCCTCGTGGATTGTGGGGCACAGCTGCTTCGACTGGGGCGCGGTGGCCTTGCGGTCACTTGCTGTTGCCCAGTGGGCCATAGCGGTGACCCCCTTGAGAGGCCACAGGAGAAAGGACGCAGAGAGCCTGGGAAATACCCAGTATGGCCATAGGGGGAGGGGCGGGCAGACCACCGAGCTCGCGTGTGCCCGGCGCTCCCTGCCAGGAACACTCAAGACTCACATCTTGGCGCTGGCGGTGCAGGAATGGGGCACGTGGCAAGGAGAACCTGGGGTCCACGTCCTGAAGTCACCATCGCTCCCAGCCTCCAGGGTCTATATATCATTCTGAGAACTTCAGCAAGACCTTAAGTTGGTTTTTTTTTTTTTTTTTTTTTTTTTTTTTTTTGTGGCGGACCCAGGGATTGAACTCAGGCCCTTGCGCTTGCCATCTCCCCGGCCGGCCCAAGACCTTAAGATTTTAAAATAGGGGCCGGGGAGATGGCTCAGTGAAATAAGCGCTTCCCAGGCAAGCGCAAGGGCCTGAGTTCAATCCCTAGTTCCGCCAAAAAAAAGACCACTTTGGGGGCCTGGGAGATAAATAAAATTGTCTCCTCAGCAAAAAAGAAAAATGGTTGGGGTGTAACTGAGGGAGTCACTGGGCTTAATCCCGGGAAGATTCAGCCATCATCTGCTCACCCCCTTACCCACTCCCAGAACCTTAAAAGTCCCCTAGCCTCCAGGGGCCTCTTTGGTTGGTTGTCTTCTCCTGTCCACCAGCTCTGAAGTCGTTTCATCCGGAAGGCCTCTTGCCCAGGATGTATCCGGAAGCAGACAATACGCCAGAGGGCTCTGGAGTCTGCACATCTTTTTTTTTTTTAAATTTT